AATTTCTATCGCTTGATGTAATCGTTCACGAATAGCATCAATAAAAATATTTGCATCGGGATGACGTGTTGATTGACCATTGGATAGTTTAATGTCGAAACTAAGTGATACTGATAAAACACTATGCAAACAAGAAAATTAATTGTTATTCATTATAATCTATGATTTATTTTCTTTTACTTAGCAATATATTCTCGAACAGCTTTATATGGATGATCAAGGATTTCTTTGGCATATTCATTAATAGCACACCATAGAGCTGGTATACGCCATTCAAAAATAGTTCATTTTAAAACTAAAAACCAACGTGATGTTTCACGAAATGTATTAACTGTTGTTTTATTATTTATTAATGTACGAATAAATTCAATAAGACGATACATTCAACGAGGATCTAAACCTTCCTATAAGATAAAGAAATTTATTCATTAAAATAAGAAATTATTATTTAAACAAATCATGACAAATTTAAAACATGCATCCCAATATGATAAAGTTTCAGGAGTTAGATTAGCACAAACTTCATTAAGAAATGGAATTATTTTTTGTCATAACTCATCAACCTGGAATAAATCGAATAGATTTTTATTTTATGAATAAATTCTTTTTTTTTGTTTTTAAATACAAACCATTTGTAATGTCCAATGTTTCGAACCTCGAATCATTCCAGCAACAATCACAGCTGCTACTCGATGACAACCTTCGTATTTTTCTTTAGTTTTTTCATGAATTAAAATATTTAACTGTTCCATAAAATGATCAATTAAATTCAAACCAAAATTTCGAAAAAGACCCTAAAAATACGTTTTTATTTATAAATTGATTATATAAAATTGCAACATGTTCAGGCATAGTTTCTTTTGTGTAACGTTCACGTTTATTCATTGGATATTTAATTATTTTTGGCCATTCATAATAACCATGATAATATTTATCTAAGAAACATGTTTGTTCCCATTCAATTTGTGTTTTAGGTGGTTGATAATCATTATATGTAACCCATAAATTATCATTATGATCACCGGGACATGTGTTATTCGTACGATGTAAAAGATTATGACTTGATTTTTCAAGATAAATTCTTGATGGTTTTTGTATACGACATAATGCTGATACACATTGTTCACCTAGCTGAATAAAATGAAAAAAAAAAAAAAACTTGTTTTCTTTGTTTTTGAACTAAGAGATTACGTTAAATTTTAATGTTATCATTACTATTTTTGTATTAAAGAGGTGAAGTATTCATTTAACGTAATCACAATATTAAATATGAGATCGTTTAATGTAAGAAATAAAGTACAATGATAATAATCGCATTTTTTTGTCATTTTTCTGGATGTTTAGTTTCCAAGAGGGTTTTCAAAAGATTTCTCGTTGAGAATATTTCCTAGACTTCTAAGAATTTACTCCTTAGAAAAACGTTGATTAAAATCCGTTTAACTCATTAGAGAAGAGTTGTAATCAGTCAAAATTCATAAAATTAGGCTTTTTTACGTTATATAGAGTAAAAGAAAAAATTCATTAACCTTGCAGTAGCATGCTGTCGAGTGTCGAATAATGTTTCCTATGACACATGGACCTTTAGACTATCAAACCTTATGATCCATTCAAAATTGAGTCTCTTGTCAGAAAATCGGAGGAATTCCTTAATATGTGCTCGAACATTCAGATGCATTTGATGATTTTCCTGAACTTCATTTCTAAATTATCTCAGTCCGAAACATGATTTTTTTTCTAATAAACCGCAAGTGTATTTTGTTCTATTCTAGAAAAAGAGTATCTGCTCCTAGTGGCATGAGAATAGAATGTTTGTTAAATATACTCTAGACAAACCTTTCGTATATCATTATTTTCATGAGTGAGAAAGTCTACCATAATTCGAATGCATGATAATGGAATTTGAATTTATTTTTGAAGAAGAAATAAAATAAATGTCATTATTATGATTTGTTGTCGATAAGTTCTAATATATGGAAAATGATGATAAAATTATAATTATTCGAAATGAATAAACTTACAATACATGATTATAAAATGGTGAAGCTAATTTTTCTATTAAATTATTATATGAACAAGTATTTGCTTCAATTCTTTCTTCATGTACTCGATTATATAATTCTAATTGATATTTTTCTAATTTACGCCATAGATCAATAGCTGCTTGTTTTGAAATTTCATTTGTATTTTCAATAATTGCTACATTATTAAAACGTTTATATATTTTTTCCATAATACAATTGATTAAATTTTATGTACTAAGTTTTCTTGCATGTTTTGTACATACAATTGATGGCCATAATTTTTCAAGTATTTCCCATGAATGTTTAGTCGGTAGAAAAAATGATTCATTGCCAAGAAGTATATACAAACAACCTTTTATTTCATCATGATCAACTTCATCAGATTTATTAAATAATTCAATAATACGATCAAGAATTACTTGATACGAAAAGGAAAAATGAGAGAACATTGTAAATAAATAAATTTGTGCTTGACGACGAACCTTTTATATAAAGTTAAAACTAGCCATTATAGTTGCTGTTATTAATAATAAAGCAATTATTTTGATACACAGTCATTCACTATACTTCTATTTGATATTTTGGAAGTAAAATAAGAAAATAGTTCATATATTAGAATCTCAAATTATTTTGATACTGTCAGTAAAAATTTTCTAATCGGCATTAGATAATAATCTCGAAGATATGAACAACTTTTTTTTCCGGTTGTTTGTACTCAATAACTTCCATACCTTACATATTTTCTCATTTCTTTTCTGTCGTATTTTACAAATGAAAAAATTGTTAGATGTTAAACTTACTTCACTATATCGATGAATAGATAATTCGAATAATTTAAATATAACTTGCTGATCGATTTGAGTCAATGTTCGAAAATTATTCAATGCAAATAACTATCAAAAATAGACAAAAATTATTTTATCCATTTTTATCTATGATAAAAATTGTTTACTTCAATTTTTATTGCTATACGTCGTTCAACAATAAATCTAAGATGTTGTTGTGTACTACATAATTTATTTTTATATAAATATTTAATAACATTTAAATTATTAGATAATCTATTTATGTATTGTTCGAATATATCATAGTACATTGATGAAAGAGAATAAAGCTTTCAAATTAGAATAGTTAAAAAAAACAAAACAAAACAACATCTTTAACTACTTTAAGAGCTACGTTTATCGATGATGCATCGTCTGAATGATATGCAATAAGATAATCTAGTAAAATAAAAAGAAATCAGTGTGATTTTTCCTAGACTAATGAAAATCTTACCAATTAAATCTCCAATATCGATAAGAAGACGCATTCGAAGATTCTCTTTAAATTCTAAAACAACAAAAAAAAAAGTACATGCATACATTCTTAAACTATTCTTAGACATAGAAATTTAATATCAAAGACATCATATAACTTTCGTATTGTATTGATATAAATATTTCGAAACAAAATTTAATAATTGAAATTTTTGAATTTATTCTCATTTTATTTACTTGGTTCTTTAGCATAAAGAGAATATTGAGCTTGAACATTTGAATCATATGGAGCAATCGTTGGTACACTAGATAATAAATAAAATTACGTATGTATTTTAATTTGAATATAATACAATTATTACTTACAGGTTTTTAATTTCTTCACGTTCAATACGTGGAACCATACGTAAACAACCAACAGCTATATGATGAAGTATTGTTAATGATCGTAATCGTTCATCATTGGAAATTTTTGTACGATTTTCCTTTAAGATTCTTAGTTCAAGATATATAAATGTTTCAACAAATTCACAAGCAAAATCAACTTCATCTTCATTTGGAATATGAAATATAACATTAATTTTATCATATTCAACATGTTGACCCCAAGCCTAGAAATTGTAACTAGATTGATTAACATTTAACAAATCCTAATTATTCATACTCTAATAGATAAAAAATCAGTAAATGGTTCTTCAATATTTCCAGCCGTTAATCGATAATCGAATGGAGGGTGTGGGATGGGTGTGGGTCTAGATCTCTTATTCATTCACACCCACATCGACATCCACATCCACACTCCACACCGCATACCCACAGCCGCACCCACACACCCACGCTCACACATCCACACACCCACATTCACATCCACACCCAACCTTACTTCAGTTTATCATCCATAAAAAACTAAAGTAACTAATTGTGATCATAATAGTTTCAAAAGAAAATATATAAGTATGACATTCAAATTTTTGCTTATGTATCTGCTTATCACAAAACGAAACGTTTTTCAATGTCTGAATCTTTTCAAAGACATATGCATTGATTTTTTTTTCGTCTTGTTTTAAGCTCTTCTTTGTGTAACCGAGTTTAGAATGTTAAGAAAATCGATATTTTTCCAATAAGATTAAAACATAAAAGTGGTCATGCATAGTTTTGACTCATCTTCAAATGAAAACAAATTACCAAAATACATGAAGAAAAAGATTAAAATGCAGTTTAGTAAATTGCTTTCGATATTTATTTCAGAAATTTTAAAAAGTAAGATCAACTGACGAAAAAGCGAATAATATTTGTGGATATATATGTCTATAATGTTGCAAAACAAAATACAATTAAGCTCAATGAGAAGAATTTGTTTATTTAAGTTTTACATGAAAAATTTTTAAGATCTTCGACAGAATCGTCGAATCCATTTTTGTGTTATTTTATTGAGTTCACTTTTGTAGACTTCTGATGGTAAAATAAACAGAAACAATATTAACACTGATGGTATAAATGATAGAAAATAGCCAATCAAATATTGCCAAGATTGACTAGGTGATCTCATACATCCTGATGTGAATGAAATAATAAGACGTGGTAAACCTAACAGTAATAAAACACTAGGTGCAATAATAATATGTTTATTTTGTTTAAGTTTTAATCGAAAATGTTTCATGAATGCTTGTTTTGATTTAACCTTTGCACGACTACGAGCTGCTACTATAATAGTTATAAAAGCTGATATCATATTAATTGAAAAAGGCATAAGAAAATGAAAAAGAGTAATAAATTTGTTGTATATAGTTAATGTGGATGAATATTGAGATAAACACCATATTCGTTGTTGATCTCCATCTAAATCATCAATTAATTGTCGTTTAATTGGATCATGAATATGTGTAATTAAAGTTAAAATAATAACAATGAAAATTACTCGTTTAGCAATTATTCTACTTGCTGTTTTGTTAAATGATATACCACTCATAATATTAAACATTCTTTCAATAGATACACATGCATTAAGCCATTCAGTAGATGTTAAACCAGATTTAAGAATAATTTCAATTGATTTACAATTAATAGAAAGTATTGATCTATTAGTTATGATTGACATTTGTGAAAGAATAAGTTGCCAAAATTTAATTATTAATACAATAATCATACACATTGAAGTAATTGATGATGCAAGAAGATAATAACCACAACCAACTTC